ATTGATCCCTAGGCTCAGATCCAGAGAATATCTATGTCCGTATGCAATAACATGAAGAAGTATTTGTTGATTGATTTTGATTTTCTTTTCTTATCCACTTAATTGTCAACCTTGCATCACATCCACTCAGGTGCTTAGGTCGTGAACTTTTGCTTGACTTCTTCCTCGGGCTCGCCTTGGGCTTAATTGCGTGATTCGGCTGGAGGGTTTTGTTGTTTTTTTTTGGGGAGGGGGGGGGGGATGCGATTTTTCGCTGCTACTTTCTATTAGGGGCAGTTTTTCAAGATACTTGCCTCTAATAAGCACTACCCTAAAATCAAGTGTATGAAGCACTAGGGTTTATCCATCACCGTTAACACTCTTACGTAGTCCTGTCAATTACTTATGAGTTAACACATAAAAGTTTTGAAGGTTAGATTTTCCTTATGATATTCAACTTGTGATATTCAAACTAGAATATATATCTAACATGCAATCTCTATGACATTCAGATCAAGTATAAACATGCAAAACTCATTAAGTTTTGTGAAATCACTTTGGAAAACCATGGAATACTTAAGAGTGTGATATTCTCCTTAAGTGAACTTACAACTTCCAGCCATAAGAAGCATTAACCAACTTCAGGGTGACATTCAAACATAACTTGTGTCCGATTAATTGTCTAAACCTCCTAATGGTGATTAAGCATTGACATATATAGATAGTTTTAAATAAGTGGTTGGAAATTCAAAGCAAGCATACATAACATCATAAGTAAACAACCACTTAGTATTACGGTCTAGTGGTATTCCTCTTCACTTGTAAGTGAGAGGTTTTAGATTCGATTCTTGCCAAAGGCGAATTTGAACCACATTATTGCTAGCTAATTGTGATGCTAAGCCCACCCCTCCCCTTAGTGTAGATAATATTGTTTGTTCACATAAATAAATAAATAAATAAAATAAAAAAAAGAAAAAGAAAAAAAACATCACAAGTAAATAAAAAAGAAACTACACATTCATGCTAAGGCTTGTAGCCTTGCCATAGCATAAGAGAATAAATTATGCATAATCATTATTGAATATCAAAAAATTCTTAAGAAGAACAGTTAAGAAAACACACTTATTAGATTTGGCATTCGTGTCATACCCGATATCTTAACGCGTTGTGTCGTGTAACACACATTAAAATAAACGGATAATACGATCCGACCCAAAATCAACCTGTTAATATTTATTAGGTAATATGACCCGACCAGTTATCTGTCACATCTCGGCCCGGGAAGTGACGTTCTCTGTCACATCCCCGCCCGGGACGGGTCACTTCCCCTAGGCCCGCTCCACCATCGTAGCACGATATTGTCTGCTTTGGACTTACCATTCCCTCACAGTTTTGTTTTTGGGAACTCACGAGTAACTTCCCAGTGGGTCACCCATCATGGGATTGCTCTAGCCCCCTTCTCGCTTAACTTCGGAGTTCCTACGGAACCCGAAGCCAGTGAGCTCCCAAAAGGCCTCGTGCTAGGTAGGAATGGGAATATACATTTAAGGATCACTCCCCTGGGCGATGTGGAATGTCACAATCCACCCCCTTAGGGGCCTGACGTCCTCGTCGGCACACACGCGACCAGGGTTAGGCTCTGATACCAAATTGTCACATCCCGCCCCGGGGGGGGAGGGGACCACTTCCCGGGCCTACTCCACCACTGTAGCACGATATTGTCCGCTTTGGGCTTACCATTCCCTCACGGTTTTGTTTTTGGGAACTCACGAGCAACTTCCCAGCGGGTCACCCATCTTGGGAGTGCTCAAGCCTCCTTCTCGCTTAACTTCGGAGTTCCTACGGAACCCGAAGCCAGTGAGCTCCCAAAAGGCCTCGTGCTAGGTAGGAATGAGAATATACATTTAAGGATCACTCCCCTGGGCGATGTGGGATGTCACATTATCTGTTAAAGAAAATATATTTTAAATCAATAAATAATGAAAATGAAAAACATAATTTGACTAAATAAATAAAAAATATAAAACTAAATTAGTATATGCATACCACATTGTCACATAAATATTACTTCAAAAAAAAAAACATTTGTCTTTCAAGTATTACATGCACCAAAATAAAAGCCTAATGAAAAAACATTAGTACATTACTATAAAATATCAAATGTTCAAGGATATGCAAAATGAAGGGAGTTGCGTTTTAAAGATGAGAAACCATGCAAATTATATATGTTTTCACATTTTTCAGACTTGTACATTAATGATTATAAATTTATTTATTTTGAAACTCCCTTAAAAATACTATTTATGAGGGTTTGTATGAGTTTAAAAATTCAAACGACGATGTACCCATACTTATAGCGTAGGGGATGCGATCACGAACCTTTGCATATTTTTTTTCACATTTTTCGCACTTATAAATTAATTACTATAATTTTTAATGTGTTTGGTATTTTTAAATTACTTGATACTTTTATTTTTAATGTGTTCTATAGTTTTTTAATCTCACTCTTTACCTATAAAAATAAATAAATAAGTAAAACTCAAAAATTTTAAATTGTCATAGAATAATAATACAATAATACATATTTAATATACAATATATACATATACACTATGCCTATTGTATTTTATAGTAAGTTTTTTTAGTAGTTTAAAAAATTAAAATCATCAAAATAACTTTTTTCTTAACGTGTCAACACATGTTACCCACGTGTCACATTTGTGTAAACCTATTAAGGACCCGTTATTATCGGGTTCTTATTGTGTGACCCGATGACGACCCGATTAGTTATCGTGTTGACCCAAAACCCCTTTTTTTTTTGTATCGTTTACGTGTCATGTTATCGCCAAAAGCTCTTAAGCCAAAAACATTCAGCCCCCCCTCAAAGACTCCAAACTCAACATATAAATAGACTTAAACATATGAATTCCTATTAATTAATGAAACCTACCTTCTTTGTCAACCAAAATAGGGTGAAAATACTACTTAGTCTTCTATCACACAAAAAAATGATGAGCAATAATGTAATTTCACAGGTTCAAATTTTACTGTTTTTTATTGAAACCTCACCTACATGTGATGTTAAAATACCTCCAATATTAAAAAAAAAATCCAAAAACAAAAACCTCCCACTCCCCCACATTCTCTCTCTCTCTCTCTCTCTCTCTCTCTCTCTATCTCTCCTTTCCATTTTCTTAAAAAATGTGTTCATACATACAAAATGTGCAGGCTAATGCTACTTCTATTTAACATAAGTCTCTCAATAAATTTGAAAAACTAAATAAAATAATATAATTTAAAGATACATTCCTATTCTAATTTGGTAAACTAATCAGCCAGAAAGACAACCTGCTTCCTAGTCAAATCTACACCAAATCAAGCGTTTAAGATGGCGATGGAAGCTTACAACATCCCCTTCAACTTTTTAGAAGAAACTTTTCTCAAAAAAAAAGAAAAAAACGTCATCTTCAATTACTTTTGGTCCAAACAAATCCAGAACATCAATTTCCCATCTTGCGCTTCTGCCTTCATTTAACTGAGCGCGAACCCAGCCGGCATTACCCTGGTTTCAATCGTCGTTGACCCCGACCGTAGAGGATCAAGTATCCCAAACCCGTTACAACAACACTCGCAGACCATCTCGTAACGCCAATGATTGCCAAATATCAAAGATGGGAAGAGGAGAGAGGACAGAGAGAGGCCTCAACTCAGAAGCCAAAATGCACACACAAAGATCACATTCAAAACCAAACCCTAAAAATTCGAGAAATTCGCAGACAGAGATACAAAATTGCCCCAATTTTTCTCTCAGATCCGTTCCCCCAATTCTTCTGATTCCAATAAAGATTGAGTTGGGGTTGGGGTTTCCTTAGATTTCGAGCCATGGTGTGTGTAAAAGGAGCCATGACCCTCCTTTCGTTCTCTCCTCTGCACATCCACCTTGCCCACCCAAAATGATGGCGTGACAATTCCGCCCCAGCAGACCAGCCCCTCGATATTGATGCTAAAGATGATGCAGTCGACGACGATCAGAGCCAGGGTAATGCTGGCCGGGTTCGCGCTCAGGTTGGAAGCAGAGTCGAGTTGGGAGGGGTGGGGTGAAGGAAGGATGGATGTGCAGAGGTTAGCTGGATGGAGATGTGTAGATGAGAGAAGCGAGGGAGGGTCCAGGGGGTGTTGAGGAAGAAGATGCCTTCTTTTTTTTTTTTTTTTTTTTTTTTTTCAAATTTTAATTATTTTTTATGTTTATTTTTTTAATATCCATGTGGAACCCATATTGACATATGGTGTCTAATCATTGTCTACGTGGACGTCAATGCTATGTCATCAGTTAACGGAAGACTTAACAGCCAGACTAACAGATGTACGAGACTGTCCTAAAATTAACACTTTAGGTATGACTTTGGGATGAAAAAAACTTTATGTGCCAAATGTTGAAAACTACAAAACTTGAAAGGAGTAAACTAAGATTAATCCTTATTTTTTAATCAAAGCATATTCTGCATGTCCTACAATCAAAACATAAGAAAGTATTAAAATTTTAGGGTAAAATATAATATGAAAGTGATACGGTTTTAGCTCAAGCATGGAGATTTTAATGCACCCCAAAACTTCTTCCCCCAGCCTCATGCTGGCGGCGGCGGTTGGAAGGAGGCGCCGCCGGGTTGTGAATTCACAAGTGGGTTTTTTTTTTTTCGACATGCTTGTCTGTGTCGAAATTAACCCCCGTAACGGATTTCTTCCCCCGGTTGTCTTTGAAATCGAATTGGATATTAGCGAGGGGTGGGCATTGGATGAACCAATGCATAGGTTTATCCTAGGCTTGCTTGTGGACCCACGGTATGGAGTCCAATGCCGTTGGTTTTCCCCATGGCTCGCCTAGTTCACTAGCATGTCAAAGACGAGTTTCTGCGGCATGTGACTTCCACGCATGTGAGAGATGTGACAGCCAATGTTGTAACTAAATGTGGTACAAATTATTTTGTTATATTCAACTGGCTAGCTACGTTATGGACTAAACATAATGAACATTATTACGAAATTTAAATAAAGGATACGAACGACTTGAACATAAATCAAGCAAAACTCTTCTTTCAACGCTCAAATACATTAAGTATGCGACAGCCACAATTTGCAGCAGACAAAAATCTGTGTAAAGGACATGCCACTCCTAAACTAGCTAGGCTTTGACGGGCTGTGCTCGAGGCCTCCAGAGTCCTAGCTGATACTTGTGAGTGTATTTCAAGATCAGCTTCCTCTGCAAAACAGAAACAGCTATCAATTTCTTTAAGCCGAGTGCAATAGCGTTCTAGGATTCATATAGCCGACCCCACTTAGTGGGATAAGGATATGTTGTTGTTGTTGTTGTTGTTGAAACGTGAGTTAATGAAATGAACTGCCAAATTTACACATTCCTCATAATCGTTTTCTCTCTCTTTTAAAAAAAGGACGCAGAGTACTCATTCCACACCCATTCATCAACAACGCTTAAAGGATTACTCAGGCAGATACCAAGCAAGAATTAAACAACAGAAACTCTGATGTGTTAAAGTCTAGCCAATGTGTCTCTATCTGTATAATAAGTCATAGACACGAGATTGCTTACGTGCTTGCAAGGAACGCCAAATTTCTTCAGCCTGAGAGTACGAGTGACAAGCAGCTTTTGGAAGTCACCAATCTCAGATTCAAGCTTGGCGACATGTGACTCCACGCCATTGCCAATCCCATTCAAAAACTCTGGTATCCCAACTTTCACTGCAAGAAAAATAGCCACGCAATTTCATTACAAATGTTTGATATTCTGAAACAAGAAAACGTAGACCACCCAATTTAGCCCAAAACAGGGCTAAGCTATGCACACAAAATATTCACTTTTCATTCCTTCAATATTCTAAATCTTTTAGCACCAGAGAAGAGCAAAGCAAATAAACAAATACAATACCAATAATTGCAAAGAAAAGGCACGGAACAGAACCTGAGTTTGATTTCAAGTAGTGGAAAAAAGTTCCTCACCAAAAACAGATAGTTACATACAAGAAGCATTGAACAACAAAACCCAATATTTGACTTGCCATTGTTTAGATCCCCCAACTTTCTCAAAAATCAAACAAACGAGGCAACACAAGCAAGACCAACCTCATTAACCATTCCTTCTTCACTGCCCAAGAAAGTTTTCATTTCTATCTATCAAAACCTGAATATACAGCATTACAGAAGCCCTAAATTAATTTCCCGTTTCTTTCCACTTCACTGTTTTCAACTTCCAAAATTCGTCTCATGCCTAGATTTGGGATGGCTTGGATAACTCCTAACGTTCAAGGTATATTAAAGGTCGAGGTGATGATTAAAAGAGCATTATACATGCAAGGATGGAGATAGCATATGTTGGATACAACTCAACTTCTTTTGCCATGAAAAATGATCAAACTAGAAATATAATTTCCTATATAATCCCTCCCACGTTCTATACTTTTCCTACCCTCTCTCCCTTCTTAGCCATGTAACTTTTCCCATTAGCCAATGGTGTACAATTTTACCTTTATAAACACCAGTTACCAAAAATCATGTTGTTGGACGATAAGTTGATAGCATTGTATCAAATTGTTAATTTAATTTCATCATTCGAAGTTGCCACCACCAAAAAATGTTCCTGGCTCCGTCCATGAACACAAAGCAGACTTCTCCCTTCTAATCCAATCCCCTATACCAAACGAGACCCGACTAGGAAAAAAAAATTGGATCTATTATACTTGAAGAAATGCAAATCAGCGAATTCGAATAACCCAGAAAAAAAAAATCCAAAACTTTCCTGGATACCAAAGAAAAATGGAAAATTCAACCATGGGCACCAATCCCTGAAAGCCAAAATCTTAGGGTTACCTAGGTAAGGGTTTGATTTAGTGGAGAACCTGGCGAACCCGGCCGTCGAAAATGGTACCAATATTGAACTTGTACTGGTGTGGAATAACATTTGTCTCCATGCCATCTTCTGTCGAATAGTAATGTTGAAATCAATGAGTGCATTCGTATTTGTGTGTAAATTTGTAAGTAAATCAAGGTTGTCAAACCTAAAACTTTGCAAACAGAGCAATGGAAACGCGAAACCCAGAAGATTTTGAGCGAAGTACCTGATACCTGACGGAGGGGAGCCAAAGAAAGTTGAGACTGAGAACGAGCTGGGAGACGACAGCTAACGGAATTACAATAACACGACTTGGGGGAGGGGTGGGGGTTAATGGGCCTCCACGAAAAAATAGTTAAATTACTAAGGGAATTATTATTATTATTATTTGTTAAAAGGAGACGAGCAGGTGACCATATCCATCGTTTTGGAGGTTGTGAAGACTTACAAAGCATTTCAACCTCCACTAATCATATTGTTCAATTCACCAGCATTAAGTTAAATTACTAATTTACGAGCGTCATTGTAAATGGGCTTATATAGATGGTATCCAAACTTTACTCTTAATTTAGTTTTAGTTTTTGAACTTTCATATTAGGTTTTTTCAGTCCTTGAACTTAATACTGTGTTGTACCATACTTTATATATATATATATATATGTCACATCTTGTCCTTAATTTAATCTTATTTGATTCACTGACATTAGGAAGTTACAAAAGTGCCCCTGATGGGCTAAGTGGAAATCCTAAGTAGAACTCTTAAGCAGACATCTGGGTTCTTGTCACTCTTTGTTTCTTTTCTCGTCTTTCTAGGTAGTACGTATTCTTACAAACACATATGTAAATCAGACGTGCAACAAACGATTTATGCACTTTTCCAAAATAAGGGGCAAAATGGTAATTTTGTATTATCAGGAATTCATTCCTTTTTTTTATCGAGATAACAGTGGGTTGTCAGTATTTTGGGCTGTAGACTGTGATATTGACGTTCTATTCATTGAGTTTGTTAAGCAATTGGGCGAGTAGGTCAATCTTCGTTAGTATTTTATTTATTTAGCCTCGTGCCTATTTAATTATTGTTTGAGCTTGACTCAAAGACAGATACACACACATATTCTTGTAGTGCTCATCACTACGATCGCGTGGACACAAGCAGAACATAATTCAGAGCCACAAAGAAGATTTTACGGGACTCCGAACATCAAGGGCATTATCTTAATTCTACTACGTTGATTGAAGCCTCTTATGAGTTGAAGAGGAATGATGAGGCATTTGAACTATTCAGATCGATGGCATTGAAGGGTTTGGAGCCAAATTTGATTTCGTTCAATGTTGTAATCAATTGGTTGTGCCGAGAAGGTCAGATGAATGATATAATTAAGATCTTTTATTAGAATAAAAGAAAAGGTTTTGTTCCTGATTAGGTGACTGATAATACACTCATTCGTGGATATGTAAGGGAATGGCTTGTCTCCAAATGTCGTCTCTTATACAACATTGAGTAACACTGTGTAAGGCTAAGAATTTGAAATGAGCATCAATCAGATGCGCTTTCGAGGACTTCTTCCAAGCAAACTGTTGTTAATGGAAACACAAAAACTTCCTTACGATAAGGCGGAACACGAGCTAACCGATCTTGAACGGATCATTACTAGCTACACGAGCCAACTCATAAGAAGTTCCCTTAAGCCTTAGGGTAAAGTTGAATGAAAGGTCCGAAACCGCAGGTCTATAAAATCCATCGACAATCCAGCGCAAAACAGTTTTTAGCTTTCAATAGCAACCTGTATTATTCCTATTCTTATAAAGTATTAGTCTCATAACTAGTCCTACTACTTTGAACCTTCAAGCTCTCAAGGTTACTTGGGATTAAAGGCAGATCAATTGTATGCAATTAGTGTACTTCTTATATGAATATAAACAAATTTTCTAGGGGCTTCATAGCTGCTACTTTTGCTGCTCTGAAACCTAAACCTAGAGAGGAAAAGCCTAGAGATCCCAAGAACACAGCCATGAAACGAAACATTCTTTGACAGATTTTAGAAAAAGTGTAGACCAAAATGCACTAAAGAATTACTCTCATCAATATGACAATTTCGACGGTAATAATGCAAGGTTAAGAAGCATTAGGTTCTTCCTAAACGACTAGCTAAATTGATTTCCATCAAAATCGGAAATATTATACTCCAGCTGTTGATCACTTTCGCCTACAACTACTGCTAAAACATACACACAAGAATGCGGTACAAATGATGAACTAATAGTGAATTTCCACTCTATTCACCAATCTTGTAACTTCACTACCAAGTCAGTTGGTCCTAACAATTATATCACATTCATTACATATTTCACTCAATCCAAGTTCTACAACCTAAACCTAAAATGAACAACGAAGATAACATTTAAATAAACATCCTTACATAGAAAATTAAAAGGGTTGAGAAACCATCCTTTTTCTCTGGAAGTGTGTCTTATCTCGATGGAAGCCTCTGATGCAAATCATCTGCTAATGCTTACCTCAAGCTTTCCCCATAGCAATAAAAAAATTTCTCGCTTTCAAGCACCCTGGGCGGTGGCCCATTCTCATCCGGGCCTTTCGAGAGCTCCGGTTCAGGCTCCCTCACAATTTGGCATAAGTTATGCAACACACACAACAAGCAACAATGGTCTGAGGCACATGATTAAAGCCCACATTGAGGTATTGTAGAATCTTCCACCTACCTTTAAGCAGCCCAATTGCCTCAACCACAATAGACCTCCCTTTCATAAGCATTCTGATAAACAGGTTCTGGGCAGGAGTCCCCATCCCATTCAGCGAAAATGGTGTCAGCAAAAAGGACATCAATGGATGGTACTAGTCCCCAACAAATTAAGGCCTCACATAGTGACCTCTTACCTTGATTATCTTTACCCATACATTGTCGGAAGTCAACTTATTGTATAAATTATTATCTCTGAAATGGGTGGCGTAGTATGTGCCACCAGGGGCTTTCATACACACATCCCAGAAGATTTTCTTGTGATCTGCCATGACCTTGAGCAAAACCGAAGGGTACCCATTGTTAACCCAAGTCAATCTGCCGGTTCATCCACTCCATGATTTGATGTTCCACATGCAGTGCAGAATCCTAGTCGGCAAGCATGGGTGTATGTACCTTGGAAGAAGCATACAGCACGGCAAGCTGTATGTGCATGTACATGTGTGCTGTCAGAAGTCTTCCCATGCGTGCTTGGTTACTGTTAAAGCATTTTCCCATGTGTGCTGTCAGAAGACAGCAGATGGTGCTGCTGCATGTGTGTGTGCTGTTATCTCGTAGTTTAATATGTAAAGGTGTATAGATGTGTGCTGTCAGAAGACAGCAGATGGTGCTGCTACATGTGTGTGTGCTGTTATCTCGTAGTTTAATATGTAAAGGTGTATAGATGGTGCTGCAGCATGTGTGTGCATGCTGTCACTTACAGTTTAATCTGTAAAGTGTTGTTGTGGTGTATATATCAAAGCCTTCCCGTAAGGCCTAAGATGAATATGAGATTTTGAAGTTATAATTCAAATCAGAAATTCTATATGGTCTCTAGAGCCTTTTTTGTCTAACGACAAAGATCCTAACCTATTATTCTATCCATCATCGCTTCCATGGCTGGAAACAATGTCCCTGCTATCAAACCTAACCCCCAAACCACCACCTTTCAACCTTTTTCCATTATCGTCAATATCAAACTTGATAGAACCAACTACCCACTGTGGTTGGCTCAAATTCTCCCTATTTTAAAAAGCCGGGACTTAATGGGGTATGTTGATGGCACCTTGGTGTGTCCCCCAAAACATGTTGCTGGTTTGACAACCGTGAATCCTTCGTACACAACGTGGGTGCAACAGGATCAAATGATCCTTAGCTGGATTAATGGATCTCTGACTGCGTCTGTCTTGTCTGTGGTGGCAAGCAAAAGAACTGCTCGAGCTACTTGGGAAGCTCTGGAGCAAAGGTATGCATCCACGTCTCAGAATCGTATTTTGTTTCTAAGGAATGAATTGTTGCAGACCAAAAAAGGTGATCTCTCTGTGGCGGATTACCTTGATCGCATGAATGCGATTGCTAACAATCTTGCTCTTGCTGGGCAACCTGTGAGTGATGATGAACTGGTCCAGATTGTGTTGAATAATCTTGGACCAGCGTATGAGATGACTGTGAGCGCAGCATAAGCTCGTGACAACCCTATCACTTATCCTGCCCTTGAATCCTTGCTGCTGACAACAGAAAGGAGAATGGTGGAACACAATGTTTCGTTGGTTGAAGGAGCCACTGTTAATGCCTTCGTGGCTTCTCGAGGACGTGGGGGTGGTCGTTCTCGTGGTGGTGGACGCGGGAACTACTCACATCGTGGTGGTGCTCAACGAGGTCCCAATCCTCGCCATTACAATGCTTCGGAGAATAATCAAGGTACTGGCGAAAGGTTTGTTTCTTGTGGTGATAGAATTGTGTGTCAGATATGTGGTAAACCAGGTCATCCTGCGTTGGATTGCTACCAGCGCATGAACACTGCCTTTGAAGGCCGAATTCCGGCCAAACGACTCTCGGCCATGACTTCTTCACCAATTACTCTTAACAAACAGCAGAATGGTTCTTGGCTCCTAGACACAGAAGCCAATGCACACATTACTCCTGACATTCATAATCTGGCCAATCCCAAAGAGTATCACGAGAATGAAGGAGTAGGAGGTGTAGGTAATCACACGGGCATCTCAATTGCACATTATGGTTCCTGTAAACTTCAAACTAAATCTTGCTCATTTGTTTTACGTGACATTCTTCATTGCCCAACTGCCTCCACTAATATCCTTTCTGCTCATCAGTTTACCCTAGATAATGATTGTTACTTACTTATTTTTCCCCATGTTTTCCTTGTAAAGGACCTCAAGACACGGAAGACGCTTTTCTGAGGGAGATGTGAGAATGGGTTGTACCCATTTCCAAATGGCAGTGGCTGTCTCAAGCATTCTGTTACTGCATGTGTGGGAGTTCGAGTGTCGGTTCAAAAGTGGCATGCACGTCTTGGCCATCCTGCAAAACCAATAATCAAGTTTTTTATTTCAAAAAAATTGGTACCAATTCATGGTACCTCTGATGTACGCTTTTATGAGTCATGTCCTCTAGGTAAAAGTACTAAATTACCTTTCAAATTGTCCGAGTCTAGGTCTCAATTTCCTTTGCAACTTATTCATTCAGATGTGTGGTGTTCTCCAATTCCTTCTAACGAAGGTTTTCGTTATTATTTGTTGTTTGTGGATGATTATTCGCGATATTCATGGATTTTTCCCATGAAACAAAAATCTGAAGTTTTTGCGATATTTGTGAAGTTTAAAGCCAAAGTTGAAAATATGTTTAACAAATCCATAAAAACTCTTCAATGTGATGAAGGTGGTGAATATAAGAATCATTTTTTTCAAAGGTTTCTTGATATTCATGGTATTTCTCAACGTTTTTCTTGCCCTAAACATCCTGAACAAAATGGTTTAGCTGAACGAAAACATCGACATATTGTCGAAACTGCCATGGTTATGCTTGCTCAATCTTTCATATCAACTACGTTTTGGTTTGACGCATGCTCAACTGCCACATATCTAATAAATCGATTACCTACTCGTGTATTATTTGATACATCTCCGTTTGAGAAATTATTTCAAAGAAAACCCAATTATGAGTTTTTGAAGGTGTTTGGTTGCCGTTGCTTTCCATGGCTAACACCATACACGCAAAACAAGTTACAACCAAAATCAAAGTCCTGTGTTTTTCTTGGATATTCTTTGAACCATCAAGGATACAGATGCTTGGACATGACCACAAGACGAGTTTATTTGTCTCGCCATGTTCTATTCGACGAGGACTCATTCCCTTTTAAGGGACTCACATCTCCTTCTGACAGTGTCGACGAACAAGGTAACAATTTTTTCCCTCATATCTTACCTAACTTTCCATTACCCACTAATCCACCATCCATGGTTGAACCTGTATCACAACTCAACCCACCTTTAGACCCTAACCTATCTATAGGACCCTCACTATCATCAAATGAGCAAGTTTTAGTAACTGAACATCGTGTGCAACCCACTGTCCCCAGTGATACTGGACATTCTATGACTACACGGTCTAAATTAGGGGTTCACAAACCAAATCCAAAATATGCTATGCATGTTGCACTTGATAACTCTCTTGTTGAGCCTACCTGTTTCAGTCAGGCAGTCAAACATCAGGCGTGGAGAGAAGCTATGGCGCAGGAGTTTAATGCACTACAAAGAAATGGAACTTGGAGCTTAGTTCCGTACAATTCTACAATGAATGTGCTACCCAACAAATGGGTGTTTAAAATTAAACGTCACGCTGATGGCACTCTTGAGAGACATAAAGCTCGGTTAGTTGCCAATGGTTTTCATCAGAAAGCTGGTGTGGATTACACCGAAACTTTCAGCCTTGTGGTAAAGCATAGCACCATTCGACTCGTGTTGAGTCTTGCTGTGTCAAAGAAGTGGCCTGTACGCCAACTTGATGTGTAGAATGCGTTTTTGCATGGATACTTAAATGAACATGTTTACATGAGACAACCATCAGGCTTCATTGACAACCAGTTTCCTCATCATGTATGTAAGCTACATCGATCTCTTTATGGTCTCAAACAAGCGCCTAGGGCTTGGTTTCAATGGTTCTCTGATTTCTTGTTTCAACTAGGGTTTGAGGAACCTACGTGTGATTACAGCCTTTTTGTGTTTGACAGACATGGTATATATATTATTCTGTTAATTTATGTCGACGACATTCTTATAACAGGGAACAATCCACGCTAGGTGGCTCATTTGATTCAGAAACTTGGTAGTTTGTTTCTAATGAAAGATTTGGAACCGCTCAGTTATTTCTTAGGCATTGAAGTGAAGTATAATGGTGATGCCATGCATCTTTGTCAGTCTAAATATGCACTGGATCTCCTCACTTGCACAAAATTCACAGATGCCAAACCTATTTCTACTCCTGTGTCGTCTGGTCAGAAACTGAGTGCTCATATTGGCGATCCTTACGTCAAACCAGAGATGTATCGCAGTGTTGTGGGGGCGCTCCAGTACCTCACCATCACACGACCTGATCTGTCCTACGCTGTGAATCAAGTGTGCCAGTTTATGCATTCCTCGAAAAACACACACTGGATGGCAGTCAAGAGAATTCTTCGGTATCTAAAGGCTACATATAATCATGGCTTACTGTATCAACCAGGAACTGCTACGTTGACAGCTTATTCGGATGCAGATTACGCTGGCAACCCTGATACTCGTCATTCTACGGGTGGTTTCTGTGTTTATTTGGGTTCTAATCTTGTCTCCTGGAGTTCAAAGAAGCAGAAGACCGTTTCACGTTCAAGTGCAGAAGCGGAGTATCGCCAATTAGCTTATACTGCTGCAGAATTATCATGGTTAAGGTCTCTCTACAAAGATCTTCATTTAAATTTGGTTCCACCAATCATTTGGTGTGACAACATTTCCTCAATTGCCCTGGCGTCCAATCCAGTCTTCCACTCGCGCACTAAGCATCTGGAGGTCGACTACCATTATGTTCGTGAAAAGGTGGTTCGAAAACAGCTCGTAGTAAGTTATGTGTGTTCTCAAGACCAGCTTGCTGACATTTTTACTAAAGGCCTCTCTTCTTCACGATTTAAGTTTCTTGTCTCCAAGCTTCCAGTTGTTCCCCCACCTGTTCGCTTGCGGGGGGCTGTTAACCCAATTGACAAAAAGAGGGTTTAATTTGTGCGCGTATAAAACTCGCATCAAGAGGGACCTTGCACAAGTTTATAAGTAAGTTGGGCTACTCCCCATATTGCTAATTGGTTTTATAGTGGAATCTCAACTTTTTTCATGGTATCAGAACAAGGTTATCTCAAGTGTGAAGCCTAACAGGTTGACGAAGTTGGGTTCAAGACGTGAAGCTCCACCTTGCAACCAATAGTTTAAAAGCCACCATTGAAGAGGCTAAGGACAAATCGGTTGACAAAGCTGACAAGGCAATCTTCATGATTTTCATTAGAAGACATGTGCGCGACGCATTGCAGACTAAATACCTCACTACAGAGGGTCCATGCATGCTATGTGCTTCGATCATCAGAAGGATATCTTCTTGCTTGAAGTAAAACACAACTAGCAACATTTACACTTCCAATACTTCAAGTTTGTAAATGAATACAATTCTAAATTTTTTCGAATCCGATCACTCCTCAAATCTTGCAAACAGGCCTTGACTGAACATGATCTTATGGAGAAAACATATTTAACTTACCATGTCACTAATATTGTTCTGCAACAATAATATCTGGTACATAAATTCATCAAATTTTTGGATTTGATCTCTATCTTACTACTTGCTGAAAAGAAAAACTAGCTTTTGATGAAGAAATATCAAGTTAGACCTACTGGCTCAAACTCTACACTTGAAGTGCATGCCACAACATTTTAAGGCCATAAGGGATGCAAGAAGTGTCAAGGCCGTGGCAAAAGGCTGAATCCTTAGCTACATGCCTAAGGTCAATTGAT